GACGAAGAGGAGAAGTAAGCCGGGGGGGGGGGTTGGGGGGGGGAGAACAGTGGAGCCTAGCAAGTGACCTGCAGTGCCTACCCTTGGTGCTAATCCTGGGTAAAGCAGGCCGTCCTTAGCCTCCACATATGGCCTTGTCAAAGAAAGGGACATTTTGGTTTTGGTTTTAACCTTCGTCATGGCTTCAGTTTATATTATGTCCAGGGTGTGCGGGAGAGAACATTTCAAGAAACTATGGAGATAAGCAGTCCTTGCGAAGGGTATGTTATACTGACTCTGTCATTCATGGCCTTGCAGTGAAAATGATATATAAATAAATAACACACAAGAGCAAAACGGACCCCGAGAATGCAGGAAATACTTTCTTTAATGATTTTTATGCTACTACTTGGGGAATAAAGCCACATCTTTTTGAGATCTTGAGTGACTGACGCTAAAGCATCCGGTATTTGTGCATGTAAATAAAGGACCCACATTCATGGGGTCAGCTGGCAAAGCTCTTAGATCTGATATGAGCTGAGTCAGAGTGGGAACTGGCCAGAGTTCGGTTAGGTGTCCGGGTCTTAAAGAAGGTTACCGGAGTATTTAGGAGAGCTGCAACAGCTCCTCACCGGATAAGGCAGGGCATTTATTCTAACATTTACAGCGAGTTCAGACATACACAGCCATGCCTTGATTTATGTACACTTAATTACAAAATGCTTAAATGATTTCTGCTTTCTACTTAATGCCTTGATGCCTTGCTATTCCACCGCAATCACGGCACTCAGGTTGTCCACAGTATAAAACACACACACACACACACATGCAAAACAGATGTAGAAGAATAAAGGTGATATCCCTCTAGGAACACAGTTCTATGGTTATCAAAGTGAGTTGCTGAGCATGGTGGGATCACTCCACTTCTCTCAGTTATAACTGGTTCAAGTCATAGATACCCTGAAGCTGTGGCCTGGCTTACGAACAAGCTATCCTTGTTATTTCATTTAACTTCAAGAGTTATTCACCACTCTACCACCAATAGAATTCCCAGGTGGGGAACAAGAAAAAGAAATAATCAACATGCAGATTTAAAGCCTGTATCATCAAACTATGCTAATAAAGCTGGTTAGTCAGAGAAGGCCAGTTTAACATTTGAAAAATGCATTCAGCAGGAGCTGGAGCTCGGTTGATCTCAGTCAGTTGATCTCAAGAGGCAGGGAGCTCCATGGAGAGGAAGCCCAAATAGTAACAGCTCCAACCCCAAGCTGGCTCCAGGCAGACTTGCAACACCCTTTTTTGTGCCCCATCAATGACTCAAGAGATAAAACAATCTGGTAAGTGAGACATCACAAGCTTGGCCTTCTCATTTACCTGTCTGACCCCCACAACACTTCAGAAGAATCCATCCTGCAGCCTCAAGCATGCAGTGATCATGTTGCTAATGCGAGGAAGAAAGTGACGTGTGCCCGTATCAACAAAGAGGTTTGCCAGATTGGTCAGATACTGGGCAGTTTCAGAACATTGCAAATGAGTCACATTTGGAACCACCTTCTCAGACTTAAGCAAACACAAGCGGATTTGGACAACACTCATTTTCTGACTGCAAGTCTCCTGTCGTGGGTATAGAAACCATTTTGTGGGTTCCAAAAGCTGAGCTCTAAGACAGCCACATTAATGGTCAGGCTTTATCCTTCTGGTTCAGGAACACTTGTGTGGGTTTTATAGTGATGTTTGCAAAAATTTGCAGGCCTGACGTTCCTAAATGAGATTGTGTATCTGAACTCAAGGATTTGTTTGCGATTTGCTGCTTACCACAAATACGCTCAATTGTCTTTTTATCACCAGGCAACTGAGGGATACAGGCTTCATTCGATAGCTGTGCTTCCACTGCTTGAGGCTCTTGCGATTCTATTTCCACCCCTGTCCTTCCCCAGTCTTGCCAAGAGTTTGCCATCTGTCTGCCATGCTCTCTATTCCTCCGCCATGGGACTGGCAGGTGCCCAAAGAAGATCGCAGATGGAGTTACACCATGCTAGGGGTAGCTCATTGTCAACAGCAAGTCAAATTCCCCAGAAATTAGAAAAGGTTCTGTGCATACCCCTTTTAGTGAAGAATTACATTGGAAACTTCCCACTACTAACCCATTCCCTAGAAGGGTTTGTCCAACCAGGGGTGACTGGTTTCCTCAGTCTGCCAAGAGAAGTGATCTCTCCTTTAGCTTCTGTAGGGAAGAGGGGGCGGAAAATCCCACCACCCATGAGGAGCCAGCGTAGTGAGGTGGCTAAGCGTGAAGAATGGGACTTGGGCAATCCGGGTTCGAGTCCCCGCTTGGCCATGGGGCCAACTGGGTGGTTTGGGGCTCATCCCAGACTCTCTGCCCAACCCGCCTCACAGGGTAGTCATTGTCAGGATAAGGTGGAGAGCAGGGAGAGGAGAATGGTGTAAGCCGCTTTGTGCTTGTTAGAAGAAAAAAGCGGGATGCAAAACTAATAAATAAATATATCAATTACTGGACACATTCAGAAATGGCATCTTACTAACTCCGAGAGGAATGTGTCCATGACACTTTAAAAAAGCATCTTTTCCTAGTTTATCTTGTGCAGAGGGAGAAAGGGTAGTCCCTGCTCCCCTAAGTCAGTATTCAGCTCAGCTTTCCTTCTTCAATCTGCCAACTCCGGTTAACACTACATGTACCTGATGGTGGACTCTAGTGCCATAATAAATGGGTTAACCTTCATGATACCAAAAGAATCTTCTTTTATTGTTGTTTTCCCTTCGATGGACAGATCCAGCCAACTGCACTCCTGGGCATTCAGATCATGTAATCGGAGTTGTCTAGCTTGCATGATTACAACCCCAGCCTTCAAATGCATGTGCTAAAATTCCATGTCCGTGTCAGGAGGCAATGCAACAAGCTGCTAAGTTCCAGGGATGCACTGAGGACCAATTTTAATTCAAGCTGGATCTGCCGCTGGGATGTCAAGGGAAACAATGGCCCAAACAGGTCTACTCGGAAGCAGGTCCCGCTGTGATCCATGGGTGCTCCTATTTGTTAAATGCCAATAAGAGCCACTGGGCTTATTCACAAGCTTTGCATCAAGGTGCAATATTGAAGCATGTGACCCAAAACACTTTCTACCAGCTGCTGAACTCGGCAGGGCTTGTTCTGGGGCAAATGCACATTGGGGGCACACCCCACAGCCATTTCCCACCGCCTTGGATGAATCTGCCTGATTGATGCCAATGGAAGTTTTCCCAGCTCGGCTGGGGGCAATTCAGGGGGCGATTTTCAAAGGGCTTTGCGTGTGGGGAGCGAGGGGCTCATCCCCCCCCACATGTTGCCAAGTGCTTCTCAGTCCTCCCCTGTGCATGCCAGTTGAGCGTATTTCCATGGAAGTGCTGAGGTTTTCCCCAGTCTTAGATTCCATGGTGGTGGGTGCAGGAGGACCACAGCTGGGAAGGGTAGGCTAGACTTTCCCTCCCTATGCACTGGGCTCCAAAAAATCTCCCTGTAAAAGGAAAACTTTGCCCCTCCATCGAATAAATGTCCTTGCATTTATTGTTGAAGGAAACATTTGGAACATGTTGCATGAGATGTCTCCTAGTCAAAACTTTTCAAAGGATATATCTGGCTCTAAAAGGGGATTGGGGGACTTCAGCAAACCCTATAATGATGGTCAGGTAGCACCCCCATGAACAGAGATACCCTGCAACTCAGCAGAAACCACTGGGGGTGGGTAGCAGTGGGGAAATCCTTGTTTGTGAGCTTTCAGGAGGCTTCTGGTTGGCCCCTGTGGGACGGAGAATGTTGGACTTCCAAGAGCTGGCAGGGTCATATGTGGGCAAAAGAAACTTGGAAGATGCCAAAACTGGCTCGACCACCTTCACAGTCATCGGGGTTGGAGAGCTGGGGCAGTGGGTTGCTGCACCCAGCCTCCCCGTGCATCCACAAACGCAGCTGCTCTTCGAAGAATGCTTTGGATGGCACCACCACGGATGTTCTTCACTGCATTGTGACCCTCCCAGCAGCCCCAAGAGGTGGGTCACAACTATTTCCATTCTGCACATGCACTGATTGTGTGTCCCCACCCAGTGCTGGAGCTGCCCAGCTAGGAAGATGAGATGCATTCTTTCTTAATTTGGACAGGCAGCGAAGGTGGCTTTCAAACTGTATCATATTTGGGCACTCTTCCGTTCTGATCTTAACGCCACTCTCAAATTTCATCATCATAGAATCATAGACTAGTAGAGTTGGAAGGGGCCATGAAGGCCATCAAGTCCAATCCCCTGCTGTTGCGGGACACCACATTACACCATCCCGCTCAGAGGGGTGTCCAGTTTCTTCTTGAATGTCTCTAGCATGGGAGAGCCCCCCACCTCTCCAGGCAGCTAGTCCCACTGCCGTATTGCTCTGACTGTGAGGAAGCTTTTCCTGGTGCCCAGCCTGAATCTGGGTTGTCGCAACTTGAACTGATTGTTCCGTGTCCTGCATGCTGGCATCAGCAAGAAGAGATCTTGGCCTTCCTCTTTGGGACAGCCTTTGATGGTTTGCGTTAGGATTTCTTCTTGAATGTCTCTAGTGTGGGAGAGCCCGTTATATTCCTTTCCTACCGCCACTTTTCCCTTTTCTTTGCTGCTCTTTCCACTCCTGTGCTCCTTATTGTTTCTTGGTCCTATGTAAAGTTTTGATCTTCACTATTATCACTGTACATTAGTAGGGGCTAGGAGAACTAGGTGTGATGCTTACATATTTAGTAATGATAATGCTGATAATAGGAATAGGAATAGTGACCTCACAAGTCTGAGACTTGTCCAGGGCACCCTTGTCCCCTCCAGCCTTCATGGCAACCTTTGAACCCAGGAACCCCAGCACCAGAATCCACGTCTCCGCAGACCCACTGCCCAGACTTGCCTGGTCGCCTGTCTCCCCTGCCCCAGATCAGAGAAACACCTGAGCGAGGAGACGGTGGCCGGAAAGCTGGAGCGCGAGAGCGTGGCAGCGCCACAGACTTTCTTACCTCCCCCGTTCTTGTAGCAGAGGTAGGGAAATCTCCACACGTTGGCCAGATCCACCGAAAAGCCGATGACGGAGAGGAGGAAGTCGATCTTCTTGCCCCACGTCTCCCGGACGGGCTCGGGGGCGCCGGAGCTGTAGTTGGAGCTGCCGCTTTGCAGGAGGTTGGAGCTGGTGTACTGCACGCCGTTCTGCTGCTTCACCAGGATGAGCTCCACGTCCTTCTTGGGCGGCTGGTGCTCCGCCGGCGGCGGCGAGGGCTGCCACTGGCCATCGGGGCAGTCCCGCGACGGCGCCCCCGCCGCGCTCCCCCGCTCGGGCTGGCTGGCGGGCTGGCCGATCATCCTCCTCGCTGGCAGCGCCGGGGAGAGGGGAGAGAAGGAGAGGCGCTCAGCGAGGGCGAGGCGAGCAGGCGGGCAGCAGGCGCCCCCGGCGAGCGCCGCGCGGCAGCTCTCCAAGAGCGCAGCGCAAAAGCGCACGGCGGACAAAGAGGCGGAGCGGCGGCGGCATCGGCAGAAAGGCAGGCAGGGGGTGGGGGGCTCCGCGCAAGTCCCGCGGCGCAAACCCCCTCCACGCCCGCCCCCGCCCCCGCCCCCTGGGGACACTAAACTAAGCCCACTGGCCGGCACCGGGCTCCGCGCTGCTCCTGCTAGCCAGCCACCAGCGGCGGCACTCCTCCTTCCCCGGCTTCCACCCCTCCGGGACGGTCCCGTTCCCCTTTCCGGGTCCAGCAGACCCGAGGCAGGCTGGAAGACGCGGTCGCCCGCCTCCTTTGTCTGAGGCACACTCCCAAGTTCAAAGGCGCGCTCCTGCCTAGCCTCCGACAAACATACAAACAATCGGAAGAACGAGCTGACTCGCTCGCCTCCCTCCCCTATGGGAGGCGCATGGAAGCACTTAGGAAATGAATCCCCAAAAGGCGCCCGGTGCGTTTCCTGCGCCGAGTCGCTCAGGAGCTGGTTTGCTGTCCTCCGTGCTCCCGGTGACTGGAGTACAGCCTCTGATCCACCCAGTCCCTTCTGCTTCTTTGAACTACAGCACCCATTGCCCTGAGCCAATGCGGGACAATGGGGATTGTAGTACAAAACATCTGGAGGACAGCACTGTAGGGGAAGCGCCTCTAATTAGAAATCAAAGCCAGTTATTTTAAATAAACTGGAATAAACATGCTAGGATGCCTTTCTCATTATGTCTGCGACAATTCATTCTCTTATTCTTTCACTATTAGATTCTCCCATTCTTATATGCACACAATTTCTAGAGTTCCTTAATGTCACTATTTATCACTCTGAATTTTTCTTCTGCCTTTCTTCCACTTACAAGGAACCCAAGGCAACTACAAGGTTCTGCTTCTCTCCATTTTTATTCTCACAACAACCCTGTGAGGTAGGTTAAGCTGGAAGCTACTGACTGGTCCAAAGTCACCCGGGTCGCTTCTCCTGAACACCTTTAACCACTGCACCACGTGTAATGCAGGCATACTCCAATCTGGACAGTAAAATGCTGTTTCCACCTACTCCATGAGCATTCGTGCATCGGAGCGTCGTGTGTGAATTGTGAAGGTGAAAAAACAAGAAGTGAGCCAGTGATAGTGCAAGAGGCAGTAAAGTACAATTACGTGAATTCGATAGAAATAAAATTAGACAGTAAGAGGCATACAGAAAGAGAAGAACCTAAACTGCAGTTGCACCAGGTGCGTTCCACCAGCCACTCACCCCAGGGTGCTCAAGCCCAAGCTAAGAGCATTTTAAACCCCCTGCTCCCCATTGGCTTCACCTCTGTAGCTAAAGTGTGGATATCAGTTTTCCATACTGCAAAGCTGCACTCACACAGTCTGCAACAAATCAACGCACAGTTGCTTTGTGAAGATGAACTGCCCTCAAAGCTCATGAATGCATGACGAAATAGATCTCGGCATGTTCCAGCCTGAAACCGTGTCCACCATTACCAGGCAAATGCAGACGGCAACTTCGCATGTGCTCAGCCACCCAGGCACCCGGGGGCCCAACCGTGCTCCGTCCAGGGCTGGGCAGCCTTCCCCTTCCAGCTCCTCTGCCTCACCCAGCCACCCATACGCAGGGACCTTTGCAAAACTCACCCGCAGACAGGTTGGTTCTCTCAGCAGAAGACGGTGCTCCGCAAAGACAGAGGTCCCATTCCCCAGCTGCTGATGAGATGGTGCAATATTGGAAGGGAAGGGGAGGGCAGGAGTGTCCTCTTCTGCCCCCCGAGACCTCCTTGCCTTTGGGACGAGAGGAGAAGCAGTGGGCAAGGCACAGGGGAGCTTTTTAAACCCGTCTCTCTCTCTCCCCGTGATTGAATTACTGTATTAATACAACCTCTCAGATGTTCTGCCCTGGAGCTGCTGGACTGCTTTCTCTGACCTCAACCTTGAGCCTTTCTTTTCCCTGTCTCCCCCAGAAGGCTGAAGGCTTTGGGATGGGTCTTATCCCCAGTGCATTGAGGCAAATTTAAGTAGAGGCACCCAGGAAACCCTCTCCCCAGTCTTCTCGCCTGCCTTTCCTTCATAGAATTCCGTCTCCGCCAGCTCTGGAGCTTGTGAGTGGAAAAGTGTGGGCAGCCCTGGCTAATGTAATATCAGCTGCCCCCTCAAGGTAAGAAAAGTCCTCAATTGGATTTCATTAAAAAAAAGTGGGGGTGAATGTTGAATCACTGTGGACTGCTTAATGAGGCCTGACAGCTGTTGAAGCATTGTAAGGCTGGAGGAAAGGAATATGTTCAACGTTCTGGCTGTGTGTTGGGGTGATTGTAATCCAGGAGCAGTAGGGAGAATTGGGTGCCTTCTATCGGCGGTACACACCACCCTCGGGTCATAAACGTTACCATGGGACTAGCTCAGTTCCAGGGAAAAGCAAGGGTTTGAAAAAGCAGGTGGAATCTGTCTTCATCCTTTTGACCTCGAGCCTTTTAGGGCAGGAACGGGGATATAAAAATACTCTGAAGTTCTGTTTTCCTGTGAAATAGTTACTCACACGTCTGATTCACTTCTGCTTCTTAGAATTGCAACAGATGTGTATGTGTATGTGTATGCATGCATGTGTGTGTATATGTGTATAAAGCCCATCAACTTCTTTCTTTCTCACACACACACGCAAACAAACGCAAACCACCTATCATGAGGATGGATAAAATGTGCAGGAGTGTGGAGTGAGCACAGACATAGTTCAAAGATAGACTGTTGGTTCAAAAATACAACCCAGTGGACCCTAAAACTTCTCCATGGAATTTCCTAACAATGAAAAGTGGACCTGGAAGGCAAATTTTGCCTTTACCAAAACGATATCTACCAATTCTACAATCCTTCTGGGAAGCCACATAGCAGAACAGTAGATGCTTTGATAGCAAAAGTTTCCATGATTTCCTGAGTTGAGTAAGTCCTTATAGGTCCAAATCAGCACCTTAAATGAGGTTCAGAAGCATACAGGCAGCCAGGCTTAGATGCTCAGCCAACCTATTGTTTTGCACAAGCTGCAGCTCCCAATGTGTCCGCAGGACCATGGATAGCTCCTTTACTGTTCAGGGTAAATCTGGAGTAGAGACACAGCCCTTCTGTCATTGGAGCCACCAAGCTCTGCTGCCCAGAAGGGAGGGATGGGAAATGTCTCCTCTGCTTATGGCCTTGGGTATCTCCTGCCTGTAGGATATCTGTGGCACATGGGTTCTCCACAATATATATGAGGTCTGTAACATGGCGCCATTCCATATCACTGCTCCATCAAGCTCCCAGATGTTTTGGTGAGGGCAAGAAATGGCAGGATGGGCTAGAGGAAGGGACCCTCTCATTGGTTTTGTAGCAGGCCGAGGTTAATTATGGCCAGGATCTCTCTCTTTCTCTCTCTCAGGGAGAGTTCAAAGCTGGTGCACCCTTTTTCATCTAGAGGGCAATGCCCCAGAAACTATTTGGACCTCCAATAACAAAACCGGCTCAAACAACCTGCTGCCCTCAGACTATAGGCAGAACCCAGAGGGTGGTGCCTTCACCCAGTACAATTTATCCACCTCCAGTAAGGTTAGTTGAACTATTTTGCAGTAATCAAGCCATCTTGTCATTATAAGGTCCGTTCAACTAAACCACATTTTCCAGCTCAAACTTGAAACAAATTCTATAGGTCTTTCTCTGTAGAGAATTTTTCTACAGCGGGAAGAACAGAAACAAAAAGCTAATTCTTTGCATGCGTACGATCCAGCCCCTTGGATCTATATCCAAAAGCCATTGCGACTCATGGTAATGACTAGGCAAGGTAGGCCAATACTAGTAGATGGTGGTGTCACTGATGGCAACAGCTACATAGAAACATAGAAACAGAGTGAGCCAGAAGGGGTCTCCTGGGTCATCTAGTCTGACCCCCAGCTCCAGCGGGCTCCACTCATGATATGCCCACCCTGTGCATGTCCAACATATCCTTGGCACACACATTCTCAGGAATCCTATTGGCACTCAGGACCTTGCCATGGAATGAAGCAAGTCTGCCGAGATAAACTTGGCAGCTGCTGTCCTTGGTGGATGTAAAAACCAAATTCTGTTGAATCACCATGTGACAAGAAGAAGCCAAGAGACCATGACATAATGCCAAGAGTTTTGCTCAACTCTCAGATTTCACCAGAAGTCCAGCAGTTGCATCAACTGCTAGTCCAGGGGGGCAGCAATGAGATAATCCTGCCTGCCATTGGTGTTTGGATTGGAGGCCCCTGATCTGCTTCCTCCAGCTACTGCCAGAGAGACTTACGCCCTTGTTCTGCAGTGTGGGGCAAGTGGCAAGACAATCTTCAGCAGTCCAGCTGCCCACCCTGTGCTTCCTCGAGATGAGCTCCTGGCCTGCCTGGCACCAGGATTCAGAGCGGCAGGGAAAGGGGCTGAGAGTCCTTTTGAGAACTGGTCTCCTTCCCACCCCATTCCCCAGAATGCCTCCTTTTCTCCCTTTCTGAGGTTGTGCGTTCTACTTTGGAGAGTCAGCCGGTGTGGTTCTTTCCATGCCCACTGCTGGGGATGGAATAGTGGAGGGAGCCCTCAGCAGGCTGCTTAGCAATGTTTTGGGAACACCCACAAGCAGGACGGGAGGGCAAAAGCCCTCCCACGCAGTTGTTCCACCTCAAACACAGGGCCCTGTTCAATCAGGCAAAGGGGCCATTCTGGTCCTGGGTTCTACTCTCACAGTACTCCCCAGGCACATGACTAGGAAGCCCCGAAGACGGTACAGGTACACCTGTACTCTTCAGGTGAGTGAGAGAGGGAGAGGCAAGGAGGAAGACCTCTTCCCTCTGCCTCCCTCCCAACAATCCCAACCCACATCATTAAGGACCCTAGTGAAGTGTAAGATGGACCTGTGAGGAGCAGAAGGTGAGTGTGGGTGAGAGCGACATCCCTCTCTCTCCTATCAGGTCCCACTGAAGAAATATCTGCTTAGGTGGTTGCTAATCCAATGCAAGAAACAGATGGAGATGAACCATTATATGCCCAGAGAGGTAATATACCCTGTGCAACCTTTCCCGCTTTGGAATGTGGCCTTTGGACTGAAAATAGAGTTCCTTGCTCTGATCTACAGCAAGTGGAGAAAACTTCCCAAGTTTTTGAACAGGGATATTTATTTATTTATCTGTCCCACCTGGGAATATCAAGGACTAGTCGAATCACTGAGCTTTGGGTCTGCTCTTTGTCAGGGGACTTGCGGTTTTCACTGTTTATGAACTCTGAACTCTCCAAAACTCATATCCCATTCTCAGGAGAAATGGTGCAGTTCGGCATCTTTGCAAAATAATTTTACATGATGCAGCCTGGCTTTAAAAGGAAGTTTCAGTGGAGTCATGGAGATCATTGCTGCACCGGCAGTTAAACCTGCAGCGAGGATTGTGGTAGGAAGAGGCATTCATCTTGACAACTGTAGCATGATGTGAAATTTTAAAATTGGGTCCATGTGTTTTTTAGCTATATCCTCTTAGGGAGAAATTGAGTGAGGATTTTTTTTTAAGTGAGTCATTCTGTGCAAAGATATATTTAATCAAAACCAGTTCCCTTTGCGTCTGGGGTCTACCAGAACCTTTGCTGCACCCGGATTTAAGTGTTGTCTGTGTGAGGCGATGCCACATAGTGGAGGGGCTGGAAAGATGCTTAGAATATTTGATAGCTTCTCAGAATTTCATCTTTCAATTAGATATTTTTAAGAGCTTGCATGTTATGTGGAGATGGTTAAATTTTGAGAGCAAGTTTGGGCTGAGACTCTTTTGGAAGGGGGACTTTGGGGTTTTCTGCTCCCTTAACACTCTTCTTCTTTCCTCATTTACAACAGCCTTTCTCACCCCTGGCAAGTGATTTTTAATGCCCCACACTTCTGGCTGGTGAATGTCCAACAGTTGTGCAAGGCCACATTTCGACCTATAAGCACACATTATGGTGGTTCCCATAGCGAAACTCCCAAGCAAAGTCCCAAAAAGTAGCCAGCTGTGTCGATCCATATCAACAAGCTAGTTCTAGCAGTTCTGACTTCCCCCAGAAGCAGATATTTTGCAAAGCAGATGGGACTCAAGTATCCATTCCAACTGAGGCCACTGGCAAATATTTCACATCAAGAACAATGTTCTCTTTTTTCTTGCTGGGGACTGGGTTGTCCCCTCGCCTACTCTGGGACCACAGCTAGTTTTAGAGGGATCAGGGCAGCCTGAAGGGGAGGCAGAGTATTTCAGAGACCCCGCTGATCCAGAAGTCCTGGCACTTGACCCTGGGAACCCAAATGGTGCTTCTCGGATTGTTTGAACTGTAAGCCAAGGAGTTGGAAACTCAATGTGCAAGTTTATGATTAGTCAGCCATTTGGCAGCTCTGTCTATGACCCACATTTTAATATGAGCTATTGGATTATTTCCGAAGAGGCTTCTTGGCCATAAAAGAATTATATGTATCGGTTGGGGCTGTGGTGAAAAAAAGAAGAAGTTACAATTGGATTAAAAGGTTGAGATCATTGATAGGATTTGGTCGGACAAGTTTACCCCTGGGGCTGACGAGCAACAGAGATATTAAGCTTTTGAAATTACACAGGGAAGTGTGGGGGAAGGTATAATTGATCCAAAGAAGCCTTAGTGTTTTATATTAGATAAAGTTGTCCTGATAAGCAGAAATGTTAGAAGAAAGAAGCTTAATCTGGGAAATGAGAAATGGAGGATGTCTTGATAGAGATGTCCAGAAAATAGGTTTTGGTTGTCCAGACTCTCCAAGCCCTTCTCTGCTCTTCTGTCCAGAAAGGTGGCTTTCTCAGCTCTGAAGAGAAAAGAAACCACCAAAAGTGAAGGATGGTCAACCAGGGAAATACTTCTGATGAAGCCATATGTAAGGTGCCTATCAAATCAATTCAGTGCTAAGAAAGAAGATCACCACACTGAAGGCCAAGTGTTACCCTGTAATTCACTCTGACACGATAATTTCACTACATTTTTCTCAACATCGCAGGATACGATCCTATGCAACAGTGGCAGAAAAATGGTCTATGACGTCCGGCATGCGAGCTGGGGCATGTTGGGAATGGTAGGCCTCTCTTCCTCTTCCTCTTTCTATCTAAACTTGCATAGGATTGCACCTTTCTTGCTATTGCTAGTGCAAATGCCATGCAAAGAATAGGGTCATATGGTTTCCCATTAAAAGCTAGGAAAAATAATACACATTTCTGACAGAGTCTGAAGGAAGAAGGACCAGTTAGAGATCAGCTAATATTTCGAGCTTGTGATGATGACACGAAATATTTTGCCTGACATTGTTGTTGTTATGTCTTCAAGTCAGCTCAGTCTTTTGGTAGCCTCATCAATGAAAGTCCTTCAAAATGTCCCATCCATGGCATCCCTGCACAGTTGTCCTAAATTCCAGGCTGTGGCTTCCTTGATGGAGTTGATCCATCCCATATTCAGTCTTCCTTTTCTTCTTCTGCCTTCAACTCTCTAGCATGATTGTCTTTCTTTTGTGAGTTCTGCCTTCTCATGATGCCTTCAAGGTACGGCAGCCTCATTCTTGTCATTTTAGCTTCTAGGGAAAGCTAAGTTAACAGGAAAGTTCTGCAGTTCTTCTGTGGTCATTTTTGTTTTCTTAATATTCAGCTGCAGTCCTGCTTTTGCAATTTATTGTCAAATCTACACACTAAATATTTTGGAAAATGAATCGAAAAGAAAACAGAGATGAAAAGAAAACTTAAAATCAAGTATCCTATTTTGGAAACTTCAAAGAAACTGGTTGCTCAGCAGTGCTGCTGATGATGAGAAATACATATGCTTATCTCAAATTGTAACTGGGAATTTTGGGGAAACATTTGTTTCAGAGTGCTTCAGTTCCATCCTTTGACCTTCAGTTCCATTATTTACCTTCATATCCATTCTTTGCTAAGCATTGCATAACCATCTTGCAAGAAACCGCAAAAATATTAGAGACAGAGCCGGGAACACCAGTCCCCTTATTAACTTCCCTACTTATTTTAAGTCAGCCCAAAAATGTCATATGGAGAAGACATGCTATTCTTTTCAACTTTTTAAAGAAGAAAAATGTGCTCCTCAAATGATCCTTGGCAACATTTTGGAAATGTGTTTTGCTTGTTACCACTGTTTTGTCTTTTTGTATGCATTGCGTACACTCCTCCATGTTTTATTCTTTGCTGTAAAACAGAGATGAGAAACTTGCTTAAGCTTGACGACTGAATTCAATTTCAGAGGAGCTTCTGAAGGCCACATTCTGGTAGCTATTGAGGCCAAAGTCAAAAATGATGGACTAAGACCACTCCAAAAAAAAAATAAAAATAAAATAACACCGCCCCCTGCCCAGGATATTTTAGCTTAAAGCCCTTACTGCCAGTAACTAAGTGTTGGAAGAGTTAAGTCAACCTCTCGGAACAGGGTGGGGAGGAATTGCACAAAAGCTGGGAAACCACAAATCGATTAGTGGTTCAGAGAAGGCCTGGAGCCAAGGAAACAGTGTCTGTCCATCCTGTAAACCCCAGAAAGCTGGACAGTGTCTAGCAGACTTCAGCCTGAGCCTAAGTTTCATTTCAGTTTGCTAATCATCAGAAATCTCAAAACCTGAATGCAAGCAGGAGTGCCGTGTTTTGGAAAAAGTACACACATTCCCCACCTTGTGAGCATGATTAGAAATGCATTTTAATGCACACTTTAAACTGTGTGTTTTCTCCCACATGGTGCTTCAGACAATAGGATGGGAAGCTGCACACTTTACAGACACACAAACACAAATGCTCTCTTTTCCCACCTGGACAAAAAGATAAGCAAGTCACAGATGCAAACAGGAACAAGTTAAGCTGAGCATCATCACAGAGTTTGGAGAATGATGGCAAGTTTGAAGATCTCTGGTTCTCCCCTTCTACGAGCGATATGTGACCATTGTCTTTTAATAATTGTCCTGAATGGATTTGCTTTCTGTTGGGAAACATTAAAAACAATCTCATCATCTGAGTGTCTAAGTAATCATGCAGCCTGAGTCCAAGGTCATGTACAAGACACAAATTCAAGCTATCCTGGTTGAGTAGGGGTTTAAGTGCCTGTTCTAATGAGGAAATATTATTAAGGTTTCAAAAGCTAATCTCCACATAAATGTTTGGACCCAACTATTTCCTCTTTGGTGAGAGGGGGGCAGAAGGATGGGGGTTCAAGAATTGATCCTTCAGTGTTATGGGCCTCTCAGGAAAAAGGCTATATGGACACTAATCTTCTCCTTGGGAAAAGTTCCAGAAGTGTTACTTGACCAGCAGGGGGCAGTCCTGCACCACACTCTGTTACCAACTTTCAGAATAATATCAACACCTGACCAGAGAACCACTGATGGAAGGATTGTAGAACATAGAAACATAGAAGCACAGAAACAGAGCGAGTCACAAGGGGCCTCCTGCGCCATCTAGTCTGACCCTCAGTTCCAGCCGGCTCCACTCATGACATGCTTACCACATGCATGTCCAGCCTATCCTTAAACACCCTCACCAATGGGGCTTCAACCACCTCCCATGGAAGCCCATTCCACACCCTCGGGGTCCTAACCATCAAGAAGTACTTCCTGACATCCAATCTAAAAGGGATGGGATAGGATCCCAGGATTTAGAAGGAATGAATGACCTAGGGGCACTGAAATCAACCAGCCCCTCACTTGAAGCAGCAGCATAAGACACCTGAAGAAACATGCTAACATTTCTGGAAATAATTTCTAAAAGGTGGCTTGCGATTTCCTGCACATTTGCAACTATGCAGCAAAAGACTCTAGGTATGTAACATCCAAGGGAAGCTGATGAAATGGCAGAGTACCACTCTGCCTAAATTTCAGAGCCATGCTCACCTGTATTCTTCACCTTCAACAGCCATAATAGATGTGCTGGACCTGAGTTGCACGGAGAAGCAACTCACTGGAAATTAATACAATCCTGTAGGCAGAAGCTAAACTGGGCAATTCCCCTCCCACTGAATCTTCCCCACCACACACACACACACACACACAAATTGTGCTGATGTGTTCCTTTTTGTGTAGAAAGGCAGGATCTAAATCAAATCAAATCCATCAATTAATCAAAGCACTGATTGTTGCAAGTCGAAGGATGAATTGGCCAAAACAAAAAACTCTCAGCCCAAGTAACCTAGGCACAGGGAGGGAGAAATAATGTATGCTTAAAATTTAAACTATTTCAACATAGAAAATTCATAATGCACCAACTTCAACTACAGAAAACAAGCAAGCAAAAAGACAGGATTATTCTGCCTTCCAAAGTCCAAGGCAAAGCTTGGAAGAGAAATCTCAGAAGACTATCTCTTTGCCTTGTTGAGGAAAGTGTGTTTTGGATGCCCTCTGCCTGTGGAAAATTCTCACTGTAAGGATATACACTGGAACAAGTTTTCCTTTTTCTTCCTGTCCCTCACCCACTTTGCTCCTCTCAGTTTTAATATTATTTTCAGGATCCATCTTTTGTACACACATTCATTCTGAATTAATTCATTAGGACTTCATTGCATTTTTCCAGAAAACAAACACAGTGTCAGCTCCAAAGAGGTACTTTGGGCTGTCTGATGGATGTCCTGATGCATCCCTCCAAAGCTCTTTTAGTTCCTGACAGAAGGGATTGAAAAAATAATGCTTTAAAGAGCACAGCATTCCACCCACCCACACACAAAGCCTGGGGGAGACCCTTTTTTCAAGCACAGCTCGTTGGGAAGGTAGTTCCAGCCTCCCTTCCTGATAAAGGAGGTGGAATTTCCCCATAATAACCAACTGCAGAATTTCCTTCCTTCATACTCAAGCCAAACGTTTACAAATTGGAGCATGGGAGAGTGAATGAAAAATGCAAAACAAAAACTTACAAAACTTAAAATATCATCATTGAATTCAATTATGTATTTACTAAGAGGAGTTAAATATGACCAAGATGCTTTCAAATTTATTATTTCCTTTTTTTTTTTTTTGCTTTTCTGGAGAGGTGCACAGTGGGAACCTCCATTTGGGTACTCTGGGATCATGCATTTGGGGACTTTCAAGATCAAGCCCCGGTCACACTTCTGTATTCTTGCACAAGAATTTCCATGTCTGAGACTGAGCTGAGTTCTTGAGCATAAATTGAGAACGTCCGTGTTGCATTCCCAGGCACACAACTTTTGCATTACTAAGGTGCCCATTACTCAGAATGGAGCCATTTTGCTTTTCCATACAATATGGATATGCACATACCTGCAATTCACCGGAACACACATTTATTTATTTATTTATTTATTTATTAAAACATTTTTATTCAGTGCTTTATTTGGAAGCTCAAAAATCTTAACAAAAGGCAACAACGCAAACATGATGGGGTGAAAAACCTTCAGAACACATTTATACATAGGAAATAATTCAGCAAAATGACCCAATAACTCAGAAAGCATAATACTGCCTATGGGACTCACACACTCATAGTACCGATGGCTTATATGTGTTTGCAATTCAAATTTGGCATTCCTACCTGATATTAAAACCCAGAAGGCCCAAACTGTTCCTCCTATGTTAGTTTTCTATGCAAATGATCTCTCAGACATGCTAGGTTACTACAGGACAAGGCAAGTACCCTCACAGCAAGTTCATTGGTCAAGGAGATACAAATCTATAATTCAGAACAGTAGTTTTTACTAGGGTAACATTTTTCCTGCTTCATAGTGTAAAACTGCATTTTTAAAAAATCATGAACAACCCATGAGAAATCCCCATGGTTTGTTGCTGAATTGTGGACTGTGGGTGTGGGTCAGACAACACGAGACCCGACCGACTTTCCAACAACCACCAGCAGTGCAGTGACAAGCTTTGAACTCAGTGAATGGGTGTGAATTAGAACGATGTGCCAACGGGCTCAGAAATCCCGATCTCTGTTGATGTGGGCAGAGAAACTGAAGGATCGTGTGCTCAGTGCCAGGTGAGAATGAACCTGACCGCATGGAGGAAGCTGCTTGGGCAAAGGGCCCTGTGTCCCACTGACCCCCATGTGCTTCGGAAGAGTCACACCCTTGTCCATCTCCACCTGCAAGATTCATATCACTCTTTTCCACCAGGGGGCAGCATGCACTGAATTCAGCTTGCCAGTAAAGTCCTGTTTGAGTCCAGAAAATGAACCAAATCCAGAGGAAGTTGACCCTTTCAGACTGTGGTCAGAATGCCATTCCAGAGAAACCCTTGAAGGCCATGTTCTAGAGGTGGAGATGGCAAAAGACAACAGGGGTGGGACAGAAAGCCCATCATATTGGATCTGTAAACTTAACGTGACTATTATATTCATTTATTTAAAACCTTTTCTATACCACCCTTCATCTTGAGTCCTACACTACATTCATATCCCTCTTTTCTTCCTCTTGCAAGAAACCCAAGATGGCTTCCAAGCTTCTCCTCCTCTTCATTTTGTCGTCATAATAACCCCATGAGGTAAGTTATGCTTAGGGCCCAAATCACCCAGTGAGCTTCATGGCTGAGTTGGGACTAGAACCTGGATCTCCTGGTTCCCTTCTAAGCCTTAGGACTGTTACTGGAACCATTTAACATGGAGGAAAGTTGCATAAAAGTGGAAACCAACTACTCAGACCCTCAGAGGTTGAGAGCAAAGGAGTGTGGACGCTTGGGGAACTCCAGAAAGCCAGATTGAGTCTCCAGATTTGCCCCATAGATGTGAGATTTAACACCTTTGCACTAATCCATGGATCTCCAGACAAATCTCTCTCTCCCATCCTAAAAAAATCAGCCATTCACTACTCTTGTGTCTCTAGTTCTCATTTGCATATGTAAACTGTTGCCATTCAATACAGAACCTGCACCAGAGGGAGGAGCGAACATGCTCCTTTTTAGCATAAATCCAGTCTTAAAGCATCCACTGTAAGCAGCCCTTTCATTGATCATATTATTCATTGAATAAAATATTCCCATCTGTCACAAAAGACACCTCCCACCCCAGGACAGCCATGAGAAAATAAGGAAATAAGGGAAAAGCCCTGTGGAATTTTTTAATTTTTTGGGCAGGCAAGGAAGGAGAGTACAAAACTATGGCAGAAGGACTTTTCGATGTAACTATAAGGTCAACAGTACCTAAGCTCCCTCTGAGAAAAGCAAGCAAACAAACAAAAAACTAGATGATCGTTGAGAAAACCTAATCTACTCCCACTCCTTGCTTATATCCCTGACCAGAAAACATGACCAGGCCTCTACAAAGATGGATGAAGTATATCAGTTCACATTTTCCGGTGAACTTAGCAGATTCTACACTGGTGAACCAATACATGAATGGAACATAATGATCCCTCAATATTTGCAGAGCTGTCAAATTTTGTAGTGGAATTCTCCCATCAAAACAATGCAGATAGAATATTTATATTGGGGAAAAGTGCCTACGTGAATAAAATAAAGTTCAAAATACATTTTATTGTGAACATGGCTTGCGTAAACAAATTTATTAGGCACAGTTGCATAGAAAAATAGACATATCTGGAAAAAATATATACACAAGGAGAAATACACATTTTCACACTACCTTCATATTTTAAATTATAAATCTTCAAGACAAACCAAATGGGAAAAATTCAGAAAGTTCAGGACAAACAGAATGGAATATTGGAAACATGAGAAACTGAGAACTAAAATTTATAGATCTGCCCATCCTAATATAAGGATTTCTAAATCTATTGGTTTGCATCATAGGCTTTTTCAGACTTAGGTTACATGCGTACAGGTAGGAATCACCCAAAGGTCAAGTCAATTTGGGCTATTGGTCAATATCCGACTGCGTCCTGCATACTAACCACTTTGACTGTGAAATTGTCGTTTGCCTACACAGGGCTGGCAAAGACTCAAGGCTACAGAACACTGCAAGGTTCCAGGGGCTTTGTCCCACCTTGCTTTGATAAATTATTTCTAGGGTTTTTGGATAGTTGAGCTAGTTAATTTGGTTTCCTTTTCTTGTAAAGGCAGCTGACCATTTCTGACACTCTTTCGATGTGAACATAAAAGCCATTTGAGATCGAAGCAAAGGTCCACCTACTTGGGCATTCCCTCCACCTGCGCTCAGGTTCCCATAAGCAGGATATGAGGGCAAAAATCTTTGTCCCACCAATGTTCTTCAGCAACTGGCATGGGTAACCTATAGTCACCAAGGCTTCTTATCCTCCAGGAATTGATCATGCCCCTGTTGAAAGCCATCCAGATTTGGTGGACATCATTACATTGTGTACTGATTCTTGGACTTCAATGATTTTTTATATCTCAAAACTGGAATTGTCTTAGTTATTCTCCTAGCCCAGGTTTGGTTTTCCCCAAGCTTGGGCCATTTTATCACAGTTTCAAAGGGATGAAAGAAAGCTCTGGAAGAAGAGGACCACATAAACATAGGTCTTAAGCTTGGATTCCCACATGCTTAAGTTAGCAGTTATTGTTAATCTCGTGAGCACTGGCAGAAAAAACTCTGTCATACTAATACAGGGATGGGCAAGCCTGGAGGTTCTGCAGCAAGATCAGCTTCTGAAATGTACTAGCAGAAAGGAAGAAAAATTAGTATTTTCCATTTAAAAGAAGAGACGCATGCACCTGGTTTCCCACAACTCTGTTTTCCTAGAAGGAGCTTTACATGAAAACCAGCTGCACATTCTCCTTGTTTTAAAGGAAAACACATTTTCCCTCACTGTGCGCTGTCAGTATTTCAGAGTTATTTGGGGATAGTGGAATATTTGTGTTGCCCACACTTGCCATTTTAGAAAAGGGCCATCTGGTAACCTGTGATGCTCAGTGGGATAAAATTCACCATATCTCTTGCTTCTCTTCATTTTCAGTTGGTCAGGAAATTATCTCCCTGGCTTGACCTCTCAAACTCTATTATATCTCAAGATTTTTCCAGGGTTAATGGACACAATTGCTCTACCAGGCTGCCCCAACTAGAGATGTGTGAGGAATCTGGTTTAGTGGTGGGAATCCACTGGATTTTCTCCACTTGGCTCCCTGGGTGGTGTCCCACTTTCTCTCTTCTCTAAGCATTCCCATGGGCATCCATCAGGAAGAGAGTCCAAACAAGTCCACCAGTCTGTTCAATGGTGTTCCACTTCTTCATACGTGACTTGTGGGCATTGCATACTCTGAAGAATTACGTACTTTTCATATTTTGTGGAAATAGTCACTAGTGTTCCTGAGCATTTGTGGACTTGATCCTGGCTTGGGTTGCTTCCTGGCCAGGGCTGAGCACATGAAAGAATGCATGAGGGGTGATTTCTGGGCTTATCTTCGCATCTTCACCTCAACCATCTTATCTGTAGGCCAACCTTTGGCTCTTGCACTTCAAATAGCGTGTGAAGTGGCTGTGGTACATGGAAGAGCTTTTCTTGTCTCAACATGTTCCTCTTTTCTGAAAGGCATGGCAGCCCCTGAAGCAGCTCCTACCCCCTCCACAAGTTTGGCAGACTCCAATGTTGCTGGTTCACACAGCTGTACCATCAAGGAAGCAATCTCCACGGACATCTAACAAACTAGCCAAGGTAGAGAAGCAGAAGTAAAGTGATGGGGAGACAGGGGGTGGTAGCATCTTCTGTAGGCTTGTAGGATTTGGATGGATGGGGAATTGCGGATAAGTACTAGAAAAAAAGGATGATGTGGTTTTGCTATGAAGCCCACTTGAGAGGTAAGCTTCATCTCTCTTTGTTTACGATGTTGCAATTCTTGCCAAACTAGCTCAGAACTGGGAAAAATCTGTAGCGTCATCCAGGAATAGTCCTTGACAGTTCAGAAACTCCTGCCAGAAAGCAAAGAGGAAAAAATATGCTTTTTTTCTGATTGAAAAGCCCCTCGTTGTATCTTCTGCTTGATACAAATCGTTGGGTAAAACAGGAGCAAAGAAAACACAGTTCCTGAGGCAAAAACAAGGGGGTGGGGAATCATTAGAAATAGTTGCTCTCAGCATTTTTAATAAAGCCATTTAATCTGTGTCTTCACTTTCTATAATAAAAATAAATTCATTCTGATTTTTAAGAAAAAGCATCCTTACGCAGGTTAAGTTAAAAACAAAACAAAATAATATTCGCAGCCTCTTGACATTCAGTCTTCTTTTTTATCAGAGACGTTTGAGTGGTCATCTGCAGAGGTCTGAGGACAAACTTTATTCCTTGGTACAGAGGTCTGTGAAATGGAGGATTTTGCAGTGGGTATACAGGAAGCGAATTCTGTCTCTGGAAACAACTGGCAGCGTTGCAGCTCAAGATAAGTTGTAAATAGCTTGGCGTACTCAGGATGTTTCAGGGCAAAATCTTTGAACTCCTCTGCAAATCAAGGAAGAGAGGAAACTGTTTAATATGGGGAAGCTCCGAGGTCATGCTAAACCAGGGGTGACTCATTTCCAGGGGTCCCCCCAAGAACCAGGGTGTTTCCGGGTTTTAACTGTATTTGTATTATATTTATTTATTTGTGTGAGCCGTCCCGAGGCTATATAGCAAGGGGACAGCATACAAAAACTTTAAACAAATAAATAAAATCCGCCAAGAATGCACCTCTCTCCTTCCACCACAAAAGTTTGCAAGGAGGGAAAATTTGGCACTGCAGTTGCCTCAGAGAAAGCAGCCACAGGTGGCTTGCAGGAGCATGCATTGGCTTCCAAACAAGACCTGTGCTGTCCGTGCAAATTTCATTCAAGCCAAATGGCCAACGCCATGCCGGTGAATTCGGTGGTGGTAGGCATGCTTGCAAAAGCAGCCATCTGGACTCCATGCAGTCTACAGACCAGGTGTTTCCCTTCCCCCTCCCCGCAACACATACACAATGATACCATGAGAAACACCACGGTATCTCCCAGCATCCTCAGACACATATGGGAATACCCAGGGGACCCTGCACAGCTCATATCCCACATCACTCACCATAGGAGAGCTTGTTAGTGTTGTCAGCATCTATTTCCTTGAAGAGATTAGAAACGTCAAGGTCAGGCAGCCCGAGCGAGGAGCGGATAATTAAGGCAAATTCATCTTCAGTTATGACACCGTCGTCATCAAGGTCAAAGAGCTGGAGGGAAGAAAAAGGCTTGCTGAAGTTCCTAAACATGAGAAATGTACCCCATGGAGTGCAATGGTTAGAAAAGCTTCCGCATGGTCAGAGCAATGCAACAGTGGGACCGGCTGCCCAGAGAGGTGGTGGGCTCTCCCACTCTGGAGACATTCAAAAGAAACTGGGCAGCCAACTGAGTGGGATGGAGTGGGATGGAGGGACTTGCTCATCAGGAAGTTGGACTTGATCGCCTCCGTGGCCCCTTCCAACTCTACTATTCTGTGATTCTATGAATGCTGGACTATGGAGTGGAAGATCTGGGTTTTAGTCCCCATGTGGCCATGAAGATCACTGGGTGATCCTGGACTAGATGCTGCTTCTCAACCTCACCTATGTCAAAGGGCTGTGATGAGGAGGCTGGGTGTGGAGCATGAGTGAATTCTTTCACATCTTCATCCAGCTTTCAGGCAAACACACCTGAATTTGCTCTTTCAAGTAGAAGCTCAGTCACCTTACACATGTTGTACTTCTCCATGTCTTGCTCTGGAGCTCCACCAAACATTCATGCCCAAAATGTGTATGTTAGGGGAAATGTTTAAAAAAGCAGTGATTAAAGAAGTGCCTATTTGTCAGAAATGCACAGACACAAATGCACCGGGAGCCTCGTCCCTCGTAAAAGGCTTGGCCAATTTTGCTGACCAGTGGCGATTCATCATGGTGGGTGGCAGAACACACCACTGGTGTTCCGGAGAAAAGAAACCAAAATGGCCCATTCATGCGATGTGGACCACATGTGGATCCCGTGAACATCTCCCGTGCCTTGCCACTCCACCCACCAACTGGGATTTCTACCCCAAAAGAGGCATCTGTGGTGGGGATGCAATGACCGACGGGTCAAAAGAGCATGTATGCAAACTAATTTTGACCCTTTTAACCCTCATAAGCAGCTCCGTAGCATGAAATGCGCCCAGCCCTGCTTGCAAACAAGCGATTTTTCTGGTACCTTTTGCTACAGATGCTATTTTAATTAAAAAGAAGAAAAGGCTAGAAATGACCCCTTGAACTCCAGTGGCTGCTTCTTCTTGGGGCAAGCCTGAGAGTGTACGACACTTAATCCTCTCATCTGCTCCCCAAAGACCCTACAACTCCACCAGCTCTACAAAGGAAATCCGGAATGCTCTCCCATTGCTGCCAACTGGGGAAAGGAAGAGGCAAACCAGAAGAAAAACAAAACTGAAGAAGTATTCCCACTCCTCTGGAAAGAGGGCCTAAAAGCCAGCCCACTTCTAAGAAATAGAATTAGCCAGGACCCTTTCAAACCATCTGCCATGAACATCGTGGGCCTGAATGGGATGCAGCTCCCTTCCCTGTTTTTCCTGTAAGAGCAACACTTTTTTGGAGCTAGGCACGATGCTCTAGGTTTTACCTGAAACGCCATTTGGATTATCTGTTCTGTGTTGGCAGGGTTGCACAGAACAGACAAGCCGATCACGTATTCTCTGAAGTCAATGGAACCATCTCCGTTCTGCAAGAAACACAGGGCAGAGGTTATTCACTGGGGGGGGGGGTATGGTGGAGACTCTCTCTCCTTGAAATGCTAGATTTCCATGAGCAGGGAGGGACCCATTTTAAAACCAAGGCGCACTGGCAATCTTGGCATTTCCCTATCCTTCCCTCCCTCTGTGTCTCACCTGAGATTGTAAGCTCCTCAGGGCAGAGTTCTGCTATCTCCCAGTTTACCAAGGATGTTGCATGCCAGAGGTATTGCATGCTAGCCCTCTCTGCCCCGGTGCCCATCCAGGGGTCTGGAATGCAGCTCCTGTCAGCCTCAGTTAACATGGCCAATGGACAGGAATGCTGGGAACCAGAGGACAAGGCCTCTGGCAGGGTGGGGCGGAGATGCTACATTTACGATAACCCCGTGCTCGGTTTCAGTCCAGGTGGGAGTGTTTGGCTGCAAGTGTTGTGCCTGTAGCCCTCGGGACACTGGCTGCTTCCAAGGCTTCGGGACATACAAAGGGAGCAGTCATAAAGAAAGGAATGTGGCCTGGACTGGGAGGGGAACTTCACAACTATGAGGATCCCAAGCAGGGCGGGAGCAATTTCTGTCGTCCTCGTCTCCCGCCCTGCATGTTTATTATTTATTGGTTCATTGCATTAATTCGTCATGTTCCTAGCAGGCAAGGCATTCTGGGCAGCTAACATTAAGTAACAGCACAGAATAAGACAAGAATTAAAAAGATACAATCCATCCAAAGACCGAAACAACAAAAATATAATAACTGAAGAATTAAAATGTAGAGACAATCAGATCAGAAGTTTTAAAAACCAAAAGCAAACGGTTGAAACAATTTAAAAGCTTAAAGACAATCTGACTGTTAGAAGAAGGCAGCAGGAGAATCAAAAAACTCATTCAGACCAAACAGTTTGCAAGAATCTGGGAAATGAAGTTTTCACCTGGCACTGGAAGGAGAGCCGTGATGGGACCTGGTGTATCTTCTTGGGGGGGGGAGTTCCAGAGGTGGGGTGCTCCCAGAGAGAAGCCCCTTTTGCTGGCCATCTGCCCCATTGCTTCTCTGCGGGGTGCTTCGTGAGAAAGACCTCTGATGAAGATCTCAGTGACCAGGCAGGAATATATGGAGACAGGCATTCCCTCAGAGATCCTGGCTCCAAGCCCGTTAGGGCTTTGCATAGTAAAGTCAGCAGTCTGAATTGGGCTGCAACAAGCTCCCAGTGCAAAAAGCCCTGCACCCTTTTTCTGAGCTCGTGTTCCCAGTTCTTTCTGCACTGGCTGCAAGGGAGAAAGGGATCAGCATTCCGGGTTGGAGACTTGTCTCCAGCCTCAGATCTGGGAATTCAACACATCCTCAGCAACTGTCCTCATTGCTTCCCTTCCTTCCCAGGGGAAAACATCTCTCCTGCTACTAGAATAGCAGAGGCACAAAAAGCAAAATGCATTTTCCTGCCAGTAAACAGCATTTCTTGTTTGCTCTCCTCCCAGACTGAAAATACATTGCCACATAATGTACATACATTGCTCCTGTGTATGTAATGTATGTAATGTACATACATTGCTCCTGTGTATGTAATGTATGTAAGGTACATACATTGCTCCTGTGGGAGCATTCAGACGCCCTGAGCATGTTGCCTGGATGTCAAGAAACCCCACAGGGCTGCAGCATGTGTTGCTGGGAACCGGGATCTCACCAATATCACCAGGATCTTCCCGCCAAGATGCAGCTCCCTAGCCTGGCTGGCTTTTGTCATTTCTCACCCTCCTGGCAAAGGGAGAGGCATTGAAGAGAAGGAGCAGCTGCATTTCCAGCCCTTTTTCTTCTGAGTGACAGCGGCGATTTGGGCAGCGAGGAGGGAGAGATAAATTTGGTGAGGGCTTACTGAAGGCATTTTGCTAATGGACCATCCAAAAACTAAAGTCATAAGTGAAATCCAATTAAACATCTGTCTGTCTGTCCATCCATCTGCCTGTTCTTCCATCCGTCTGTCCATCTATCCATCCATCCATTTCCAAATTTGCACATATGCCACAATTCCACCAAAGAGAAATTCCACAAAATGAGGTGCACCACTGGACGCTCTTGTCTTTTATTTCATCGCCAAAGGAGGGGCAAGTTCTCCTGGATGCCAAGATGCAACTGAAGAGCAAGCAGAAGAGCTAAAAAGAGGTTGTGGCATCAGGTTTATGTCATGAAGATTGCTGAATGGAAAATCAGAAAACCTCACCTTAAGGAGAGGAAAGATTTCCAGGTATTTGTTGGATTTTAGTGGCCATGATTTTGTGAGGCCCAAAGAACCTATTTAGAAGCCCGTGACAAAGAGGAAAGTTTACACAACATCTTTAAATGTTTGGTCCTGCTTTTCCTGATCCAAAAGGGCCCTTTCTCTAGCCAGCTGCTCCTAAACCCAGCTATTGAAGTAAAACAATTAAGCTCCGATACAAAGCACAATAGAATGCTTGGGCATTGCTGGGTGTGTGTGTGTGTCGGGGGAGGTATTTGGTTTTTTTTTTTTTTGCTTTGAGAAAGAGCCCGCTTTGTTTGTTCTGAAATCAAGCCAAGGAGCCATGAGATCACCTCACCGATTTAATCCAGCTAAACTAGCAAGCACCTTTGAACAAGCAGAGAGACATGCTTTGACTGAATTAGGTGGCACCCTGAAGGCATGTTTTGACAACTGGCACACCCTGGGATGGGGCGAGGACAGTGGAGGAGGAGAGGGGACACACAGTGGGTCCCCTCGTGTCATTTCTAGCTGCGTGAGGATGAGCGAGGCCCTGCATTTAGGAGGAAGGTCTGAAACGAAGGGCATGCTCAATGCAGCACACTCCTCATGAGAACTAGAAGCCTGCGCCATCCTGTGTGCGCGCTGCAGGCTCCCCGTCCCAGATCTCCTGCCCCAATAAGTGAAAACAGTTCATGGGAAAGGCTCTCACCAGCCTGGATCTTGGTGAGTCGCTGCCTCTCAGTGCAGAACAGGGACTGGCAACTTGTGGGAGAGCAATGGCACATTTGGCAATCGGAGGAGGTGTCCCGGGCACCACCACGAAATGACGGCTGCAGGAGGTGTGGCTGACCTGACCAAAGCAACGGCCTGCCCCCTCCAGCACTTCTTGTCCTTCATGGGTGCAGAAGAAAGCCAGGCCTAACCAACCTCATGTCCTACGCATGCACTTGAGCGCTGCTTGTGGGAAAGGAAGGTGGAGACGGCTGCAGGCCCACGTGGCTGTCAAGCAATCCCAGCCGGCTGGAAGGGAAATTGTGAATTAAACCGAACAGGGCACCCTGGAGAGGACAGAATGCTGCTTGCTGGGCAGAGAGCCTGACCTGGCCTGCAGCAGCTTCCCCTGGCGGGAAGGAGACCCCACCTTTGCAGGAAGCTGTCCGGTTTGTGTTTGCGTTTCTGCATTTGCTTTTTTGCAAAAGCAAAGCAAAGCAAAGCAAAGCAAAAACACCCCGCCCCCCACAAACTTTTAAGTCATTCTTAGAAAAGGTCTGAAGAAATTACTCATGGAAGGGTGAGGGGTGAAATGAGGTCAAGCGCTCTCCCCCTGTAGGTTGGTCAGATCTGCCAGTGGACTTCCCCTCCTTCCTCTTTCCTTCCTTCCTTCTTCTCTCTCCTCCCTCCCTCCGTCCCTCCGTCCCTCCCTCCCTCCCTTGTCTCTTTCTTTCACCTTGCCTTCTTTCCATCCTGAACATAAAGTACTTGCAAGTTCTGGTAATTCAGAACCAAATTCGAGAGGTGCTGTTCTTCCCAGCCCAGTACCTGAGAGGCAGGGCACTAAGAAGGGTGATGCAGGAGAAAGACCGTGACAAGACTAATTCAATGCCACAAACACAGATAAATAACTGAAAGGAATTTAACGCTGGTCTTTTCTAGCTAAAATCTCAAAGACCGGGGCCTAAATGGACAAACTGGTCCATTTCAATTGCTTCCACATTCTTTTCTAAAACTCACCTTCTTCCTGATCCTATCTATGAAGAAGAAGATGTGTTTAGGCAGTTTATTTCGAAATGCAATTCTCACCCTTCCCTGAGGGCCAGTTTTCCGTGCATGCAGAAGACTGTAGGTTGACCCCTTTGGGCATGACGGGTTACAAGGATATTGGGATAGGAAGGCCCTGGGAACGCTGGGGCTTCCCCCAAGCTCCTTGGAGAGAAATGCATGGGGCAGCCATGCGGAGATGCTGCCAGGCGCCCAAGCTCAGGGGTGCGTGCAGGGATCTCTCTGCGTTGCACCCAGTCTGTGCGCATTTGGACTGTCACTCGTAGCAGAAGGAGGTGCACAAACGGAACATACCAATTCGGGCTACAGCTGTTTCCGTATTTCTCCCTGCATCAAAGGCGAGCAGTGAGGACAAACTTCCAGCAGATGGGTTCACTTTCTAACTGTTTGGGGTGCTTAATGTGAGGAAACCTTTGTGCGGGGAGCAATTTACCCCTCTGCTCCTAACCGGAGTAGGACATTCTACTTGGCTGTGGGCATAAAGCAGAATTTCTTTTGCAAATGCTTTACTTTTCCCATCCCCAGTTTTCAAATAACAGCTTTGCTTCTTCATCAGGCCTTCCCCAGCTGCCACAAAACATAAATAGCCATAATCTCATTGTGTTTATCATCTGAGTTTATTTTCCTTCTTTGCACACATTGATGCTAGGAATCTAGGAGGACAATCTATTTTTCCTAGCAATAGAGATTAAAATCTGCCCTGAGGCAAAGCGATCCAGAATGCCAAATGGAAAGTCATGGAGAGAAAACTCTGCTCAGTTCAGCACTCACTCTCCCTGCTCTCCTTGTACACTGAAGTTCAGTCTTCCCCAACATGGCTGTCCTTGGCCCCCTTAGTGGAGCTGCAGCTGAGGACCATGGAAATTTTAGTTAACAAATCCACAAGACTCCCATTTCAGGAAGGCTGATCTCCGACAGAGCACTGAGTACGTACTGCAGCTTGGAAATGGAACAGGACTACCCAGTAACAATACCAGCATGGAGAAGTATATAATTTTGCAAGAGAAAGAGGAGATGCTTTAAGAAACCAAAACAGCCGCACAAGAATCTGTGAGCTTCCAGTACGTAACGCAGCAAGTTGAGGAATGCGTTCACTAAGGAAACTGGAGGCGGTGTGGGGGAAAAGAAACAACTGAGTTGCTTAGGATTACAAGTGTGTGTGTATGTGAGAGAGAGAATTCTCTCCCTGAAATATGCAAGTCATGGGGGCCAGAGAAGGGGGAGAGGCAGATAAATTCTGTTGCAACCTCTACTTGTACCTAGAGAGCACTCATAAGGGAATAAGTGAGCTATCCCATTATCTTTACATCCCATGTAGCATTCATCCTCAGTCCTACACATCCATACAGCCCAGGCATGCTAAAAAGTAAACAAACCTTAAAGAGGGAAGGAACAGACGACAGAAACTACAGAAAGATACATGGAAAAGAAAGGAGAATTTGCAGTAACACTAGAAAGATTTTGACACCTCCCCTACCTTGCCTATCACCCAAAAGGTAGCAAGAGCAAGAGAATTGGCCTCCTGTCCAAGACGGAAGTAGATGCAGCTATATAACTAAGCAGTCCTGCTTGCAGGCCAAAGCTTGAAGGAGCAGCATGGTCGTCATTGGCACTGTCGCCTTCTTTCCGCCGGTCGTCCGGTTTCAAGAGTACATGGTCAGCTGCAGCCATTCCTGAAGGCTGATCTGGACGTTGCCATGACCGTCTCTGTCCAGGGCCTTGAAGGCACGGAACATGCCATCCAGGCGCACCAGGCAGCTGATGAAGTTGTTGAAATCCATGCTGCCATCTTCGTCGGCATAGCGGCGGATCATCAGCGCGTAGAGCTGCTCGTGCATGTTGAACCCGGCATCCTTGAAAGCGGAGGGCAGCCGAGCCATCTCAATGGACCCTCCAGGCCCACAGTGCTGCTTGAAGACCCTCTGCCATTTCTTGAGGTTGCCCCACAGGTAGCGGAACTGGTAGAAGTCCAGCTTGCCCGTGGTGTCGCTGTCCATGACGGCCACCATGCTGCGGCAAGTGTCCAGGCTGAAGGCCTCTTCCGTCAGGTCTTGGTGCCGCGCCATCACCTTGTTGAGGATGTTCATCAGCTCGGTGGGACACACCTCCATGTCGTTGCCGGCCAGCTGGGCAAAGAGGCGCCGGAATTGGCGGAGCTCCTCGCTCTCGTTGGCTTCCACGTTGGCGAAGTGGCTGCGGGGAGCGGGAGGCGGCTCCGGGGTGTACTGAGCCGCTGCCTCGCTGATGATGTTCACAAGGCCTCCCAGGAGGCCCATGACATTCACCCCTTTTTGCACCTTGCTGCCACCACCGCCACCACTGCTGCCGCCACTGCCGCCACCGCCGCCGCCACCAGAGAGGAGTCCCCCGAGGCCTTTGGCGAGTGCTCCTCCAACCCCGCCACCGCCTCCTCCAAGGCCCTTCAGAAGGGCCCCTCCGACTCCTCCACCGCCTCCGAGGCTCTTCAGGAGGCCTCCTGCAGCACTGGCGCCACCGCCACCACTACCGCCACCACCGCTGCCACCGCCGCCACCCCCGGCAGCGGCATCGAGCAGAGCCTGAGCGAGGAACATGGTGCAGCTTCCAAGACAGCCCGGCGTCCTGTGGGAGCTCTCACAGCGGCGTTTGCAGAGAGCAGAGCTGGGCGGATCCTAACAAGGCAGTGCAAACTGCCGAGAGCAATTACCACTCCCCGTGCAAACAAGTCATTCTGCACAGCTGGAATCCCTCACAAAGCGGCACCGCCCTGCTCCGGACGGCGGGGGAGGAATGTCTCCTCCCGCTTTGACTTCGGAGTTGCAACGCCTTTCCTCAGAGATCCTCGCCTTGCTGCAGGTTCTGTCCTGCCTTCTCTTGGCTTGCCCTTTTATTGTTCAGCAACACACAACTTCCCACTGTGCCTGGTTTATATTAAGCAGTGAAACGTGATTGGTGGAATTTTTTTTTTTTTGGGAGATATTTTTGGACTAAGGCATTTCTGTCTGCAAAGAGGACAAATCTATTTCAATCTTAGCTATGAAGAAAGAGCAGGCAGGAGCATGCTTACCCTGTCGAAAAGGGCAAACAGCTCTTCAAGAACGCTGGAGACGGGCAGCTTCAGGTAGCTGGCAAACTCCTCGATGCCGATCCTGCCACCTTTGGAGGCGCTGGCGATTGTGGCAAACTGATCCAGCTGCTCTCGGATGTTGTTCCATTTTAGACTATCAAGAGAGTGGGGAAGGGCTGGAGTTAGCAGTGCCTCATGCGTGCAGCTACAGAGAATCATGAGGACGAGAAGCTTGACCTACTTTTCCTGAAGCCTCATCCATGCTTTGCCCGCATAAAGAGACAATGCAGATGGGCAGGGGATGAGGTCCACACCTCGAATGAGCCCTGTCTCGAATGAGGCCCACTAAACCAGCCATTCACACATTGGTGTGGATGCCTGAGACTGAGGCCACTTTGGCCACCAGACCCCACCCCGCTCTTAAACATCCATCCTAACACACCAATGTAGTGTGTGAAAGGGGCATGGGATTTGCACAATCCTGGGCCAGATTCCTCAGGGCCTTCTCAGTGGGGGCATCTCCCCAGGAAGACTGAGCTGGCACTGACATCCTAGGCATGAGACTTCCATTTTCTCAGGCCTCCTGATCCCAGTGGACCAGTTCATCTCAGTGGTGCTTGCCTTCAGTGCCCTCCCACTCCCGGATCAGGACCCTAGTGTGGCTCTCGGGAGGGCTTGAGCTTGCCCTCTCCACTTCAGTTTGGCCTGAAGGAAAATCTGAGCAAAACCCAGAACAGTAGCCATGCAAGACATGCCTCGAACACAACAAAGAGCCTTGTGACGCCATCCAGATGAACCCATTTCTTGTTGATCATTAACTGCCCAGAAAGCTTTGGATATTGGCCGGTAGATAAAGGGCATTATTTACCTATTCAATAATAACAACAACAATCATAGTGGCACCCGCTTTTATGGCCGTTGCCCATTCCAAACAGACACACCTTGTCCAAGAAAGCTCAGGCCAAGATCAGTGTGTCTAATTGGGGGCAGAAAGTTCTCAGGACTTCTGCTGCCCAGGAACTCATCTTGGGTTGCAGCTGCAGGGCACCCCACTGTCCAGAGCTTCAAGGACTAAAATCGTGGCTTGCCGCAGAAACTCAGTGGCAAGCTGGTCCGTAGCATCTGGTCACACGATTCGAATGAACTTATCATCCAGGGAAGATAAACAGATCAGCCACTGGAAGGCCCCAGGGCTTCTAAAAAGAAGAGTTAACTGTGGAATTAATCAAGCAAGCAAGCATTTACTTACGCCAGGGTTAAGAGTAGCGCCCTCTCACAAAATACACGTGATTGGAGTCACAGTCTGACTGTAGGAGCTTTTCTTTTTCTCTGGGGCATCTGAGTGAGTGGGGGTGGGTGGGTATTCTGCAAGTTTGAGGGGGAGCACCAGGGATATCGTAAAGGCTCCTTGTCTGATTCACTGAACAAAAGCACACTTACTTCAACTTCTTGCTGATCTTCGTGAATTCCACCAAGCCGGCCTCCATGGGCAGCGTCAGCTGCCCTGCAGAAAGCATCAGCCTGCAGTCCTCATACGTGTGATCCGTGACTGGCACATCTAAAGCACTTCAAAAGCAAGCCCAAGATGAAACAGTGACTTACTATGGAGACGTGCAAACACAGCCTCTCATTCAAAGCACTTAGAAGCATCCACACAGCACTGGAATTTTCATATATATGCATATTTCATGTGCATCTACTAAAACAAATATATTCAAATCTATGTGGCTGTAAATTGGCCTGCTTTATGGTTTGGTTTTGCTAAAATTCTACAGTAAAAGATTTAAAAAAAAAACCTTTATGGAGGAAATCTATGCAAACTCAGGAAGCTTTGGACAAATTTCCCATTTGACTGCTACAAACGTCTGCAAAGGATTCCATAGATGCAATATAATGCAATATAATAATGCAATAATGCAATATAATGCAATATAATAATGTTATAATAATAATAATAATTCCATTCACGCAAAGTGAGCAGCGGTTGCCAACATAAATAAGCACCTGGGATAAGAAGAGTGGCAAAGCCAAATTCAGGGAAAGGTAGTTGTTTCAGACATTGTGCGCTTCCTTGACCTAGCACAAGCCACTCAGGCAAAAAATCAAGCTATTGGCCAATATAATCTGCGTATCACCTTGCCATTTCGTTACGGACTCCACTGGCAAAAAGAATTGGATCGTTCTTTTCTTCCTCGGTTGGATTATAGACAGGAAGGAACTGGAGAAGAGATTTCAAAGCATGTTTTAGTAATCACATACAAGTTAGCAGTACCTCAAGACCAGGGTATTTGGTCACCCAATTCTGCTTGGATTTGAATGACCAGCGGGGGAAGATTTGCAGGCCGGCCACCAGGGGGCGCAACATCCTTTAGAAAGGAAACTCTACGGTGGAATTTCTTCATTATTTTTAGGCTATTTTTATGGCTAGAAAACGCTCAATAAATAAGTTTTTTTTCCCAATATTACAGTCTTATATATTTTTCTACATTTAAAAAAACCAGTCAGTCAGTGGCCTCCTAAAATCAAGGTTTTTCACTGTTTCCTCAAAAAAACAAGCAAGAAAGAGAAAACACTTAAGTTTTTATTAATTGAAGCATTTCTCAGCAAGCCAAACATCCCTCTTTCTGAAGTCCATGCTTTCCTATCCATATTTTGGCAACAAAGTATTAATAGCAAAATGTAGAAATGGGACAGCACAAATTTAAGAGAGGAAAATGGAGACAAAAAATGGAAAATGAGATTCTTCCCTCCATAAGTAAGTACCCGGAGGAGGGCTTTCTCTACGGTGGCGCCCAACCTATGGAATTCACTCCCCAAAGAGGTCCGTCTGGCACCGTCGTTACTGGTTTTTCGGCGCCAGGTAAAGACCTTTTTATTTAAACAGCATTTTAATTGTTAAAATATATGATCTGGCCAGGGCAACTTCTTCTTCCTTCTCTTTTCTCCTCCTATATTATTTATTTACTTATTTTATACTGTTATTTTTAATTTTATATTATTATGTTTG